GAAGCCCTGCGTTGTCTTCCTTCGGGAAACAAAGCCTTAAATTGCTATTTTTGACCAAAATTAGCCTGTTTCAGGGTTATTTTTCCTCTTCAGGGGGAGAAAAACCTAGTGGTTCTTGCCCTCGCTGCTTTCTGCAGAGCGTTGCCCACACTCACCTCAGCCATGGTCATGTTCAAGAAGGTGAAAACCTTCCTGATGTCCTTCAGCGAGCCCGAGAAGGTCTATTGCAGCGGGGAGAAGGTGGCCGGGTGCGTGCTGGTGGAGGTGGCCGAGGTCACTCGCGTCAGCGCCGTCAAGGTGCTGGCCTGCGGGGTGGCCAAAGTCAACTGGGCCAAGGGCCCCCAGCAGTGCCGGCAGGAGATGGAGTACCTGCGCTTCGAGGACGTCCTCACCCTGGAGGAGCAGCCCACTGGTGAGGATCTGGGGCTGGGGGGAAAGGTGATGGGGAGGAAGGGGCTTGAGAGCTGGCCATGGATGGGCGGCATTTCCTGCGGGTTGGTTTCGGGGAGGCTGGAGCAAGTCTCTTGGTTGTGCCTCCTTGGGGTGTGCATCAATTGGGATGGTTCTGTAGCGAGGAGTTGGGGTGTTTTGGTGGTGTTGGGGCTTAGTGCTGGGACGGAAGTGGGATTGGATGTGGGCTGAGTCTTAGGAGGAATAAGAAAATTCATTGAAACTTGCGAGCGGGCGGAGGACAGCAGGGCTTGGCTAAGTCAAGTTCAAAGTTTGAAAGCCCAAGGGCTGCTGAGTCTTAACTGGAGTGTAAAACAAAAGCCGGACGAGCTGCTTGCCGGAGCGTACAGAAGCCGTTGGGCGCTGGTGTGGCTCAGTGATGCAGTGTGCCCGCAGGGAGCGAGTTCTAGAGTTGGCCTGGGCCAGGTGCGACGGCGGCAGGAGGTGCCGCTCGGTCGGTACAGGGTACGGGACGGGTGGTGGTCAGGGAGTGGCAAGTGCAGATCTCACTAGAGACAAGGAGTGTCTTCTCCTGGGCACGGAGAGCTCCCGTCAGCAGCCTCCTTGTTTGTCTGGCTCAGAGACAAGGAGTGTCTTCTCCTGGGCATGGAGAGCACCCGTCAGCAGCCTCCTTGTTTGTCTGGCTCTGGGGAAGGTGAGAGATAGGGACTTGGCAAAGCGTCCTGGGGGATAACTGGGCTGACGTGAAGTCTGGGAGATAAAGAGGTGGCTGGGAAAAGAACTGAGCGCTCGATACTCCCACAAAGTTGAAGTAGGGTGTGGCGAGGAGAGGTACCAGGGACTGAAGCGCATCAGGACGCGATGTTCTGGCTCCAAATGGGGATGTTGAAAGAAGAAGTGAGATTAAACGAGCAGTGCTTCCCTGCTTCGAGAAGAGACGGGGTTCTCGGGCTGTTCTTGGGGGACAGGTGTAGGCAGCTCTTACCAAACAGTTAATGCTGCTCAAGCCCATGCAGCGCTTGAGTTCATCACCGCCTGTGTAAGCAGAACAGGGGATAATACTTAAGAACAAACCCATGGAGCTTCAGCTGACATGTCCCTTCCCCTTTTCTTTTGCCAGATGGGGATGGCTCTGTAATCCTGAGACCCGGGAACAAATACGAGTACAAATTTGGATTTGAGCTTCCCCAAGGGTGAGTATGAGATGAACGCTGCCTCTTTAAACAAAATGAAATTGGATTTCTACAGAAAATTCTCTTGTTGCCTCAAATGTGTCTAACAAGAGTCTCTTCCCACAGGCCTCTGGGTACCACCTTCAAGGGAAAGTACGGCTGCGTGGATTATTGGGTGAAGGCCTTCCTGGAGCGCCCGTCCTTCCCCACTCAGGAGATAAAGAAGCACTTCGAGGTTATGGATCCCGTTGATGTGAACACTCCAGAATTGCTGGTAAGTGCAGCTTTCCTCCAAGAGGTTCGGGTGTTGGCCAGTGTTAATGAGGGAGAAAAGCCCTTAGGTAGGGTCAGTCCGACCTCTGGCATTAAGACACCCCTAATAGGCTTTATTGCTGAGCGAGGATTAAATACTTAGTTCTTAAGAAGTCCTAGTTACTTCTAGAAACCTACACCAAGGCAGATAAAGCGAGGCGCTTGTTCTGCTTTCCATTGGCTGCAAGACACTCGAACCTCATGGGGAACTTGAAGCTTTTGTTGCAAAATAGGAGGAAGGAAGGAGGAGTGGGATGGGAGCAGCGGGCAGGATTCACCTAAGTAATGATCTGGTTTCTCTGCAGTCCCCGGTTGCTGCCAAGAAGGAGAAGAAGGTGTCCTGTATGTTCATCCCTGATGGCCGTGTGTCAGTCAGCGCTCAAATCGACAGAAAAGGATTTTGTGAAGGTAAGAGCCTGTCCTCCTCTCTTGGAGGAGGGGAGAGGGGGGGCAGGGGGTGGTGGGACGCAGTACCTGAGCAGAGGGGGACCCTCGGGGATGTTAAACAGGCTTCCCGCACGGAAGAAGTTTGGACTTGCCTAAATGCCAGACGCTGTTCTCTCCCCAGGTGACGAGATCTGCATCAACGCCGACTTTGAGAACACTTGCTCCCGCATCGTGGTGCCCAAGGCGGCCATCGTCGCCAAGCACACCTACCTGGCCAACGGGCAGACCAAGGTGTTCACCCAGAAACTCTCCTGCGTCCGAGGCAACCACATCGTCTCCGGCATGTCTGAGTCCTGGCGGGGCAAAACCATCCGCGTCAAGAAGCTCAAACCATCCATCTTGGGCTGCAACATTCTGCGCGTGGAGTATTTCCTGCAGGTGAGCGCCTTGGGTTGCTCTTGCTCTTCCTCCCCTCGTTAGTCGGTGAACTTTGTGTCTCCTCTTGGTTCCTGACATCCCTTAAAACTCCCGTTCTCGCCCTCACAGATCTACGTCAGCGTCCCAGGCTCCAAGAAGATCATCTTGGAGCTGCCCCTTGTCATCGGCAGCCGCTCGGGCATCGGGAGCCGCAGCTCCAGCATGGCCAGTCAGACCAGCTCCGAGATGAGCTGGGTGGATTTGAACCTCCCCGACGCCCCGGAAGGTGAGTGGAGTGTGGTGACCGCGAGGGGTCCGTGGTGGGCACCGCGCTGACCCCCACAAACCCAGTCTGGGGGTTCAGGGGGGTTACAGTGAACACGGGAGAGCTGACCATTCGCTCCTTCTCCTGCAGCCCCCCCGTGCTACCTGGACATCGTTCCCGAAGACCACCGCCTGGAGAGCCCCACCACGCCCCTCCTGGACGATCCCGACAGCTTCGACAGCCCCATCTTCATGTACGCGCCCGAGTTCAAGTTCATGCCGCCGCCCACCTACACGGAGGTGAGGAGCAGCGCGGAC